GGGGTAGAAAACCACTTGTTGCAAAATGGGCACGCGTGTCCAGCTCCGGCCTGGCCGCCCTCGGGCCGCACCTGCCCCACCCCCCGATTCGGGGACCAAGCGCGCAAAACCGAGCGCAATTCTCCCAGCTTTTGTTGGCAGAATCCTTTAAAATTCTCCGTGCCACGATCGACTGTATTATTATTGCTGTTGCTGTGGGTAGGCGATTTGGAAAATATCGTTTCTGTGATCAGATGGATGGATACAGCATACTTATAGAAACGGTATGTGTGTGCACGTTTAGAAATCAATTGCCTGGAGATTATTCTTCGGAGAAAAAGAAAACCGTAGCTGGAGAAGAACCCGGCGTTTTCCCAGAACGCTACTGAGCCGCTCGGGGGAGACAACCAGTTGATCAACAGAGACTGACAGACGGTTCAGACAATGTCGCTGCTAATCCTCCTGAGGTATGATGGCCCGGGCATTATTATCGTGCGCTAGAAACTAATGCCGTGTTTTACCCCAAGGATTAACAACGAACTGATCTCGGAGCCGTTGGGGGGGGTTAAGGGCCAAACCACAGGCCAGCGAAACACCGAACTGCAGGAGTCACAGCAGTCTCCTGCATGTCTAGGAGCTCGGGTCCGTACAGTCCAGCGAGTCACAAGCCCAGTGGAAAAAAAAAAAACAAGAGAAGTGCCCGCTCCTCTCTTGTTTTTACGTGCATTTCGTTAGACAGCCCCTCCGAGGAGAGGACGGGGGCCGAACAGCGACGGCACTGCATGAACTCAGGCTCTGTGGCCTCCGCGGACCCGCTGTCGTGTCAGCCCCCCTCTTCGCTTTGACCCGTGAGCTTTGCGGTCCAGAGTGGCGGCGCCCTTTCGCCTCGATAAATATGCATCGTGTAAACGGCGCGTCCGTGCTTAGATTGCTGGGGGGGGGTTCCCCGTTAATGCACGGAACTGCAGTCTCCACGCGCGCCAGCGGACTCGGTCACCGGCCGGTCTGGCGCGAGCCCGAGCGGAGGAGCTCGCGAGCCTTTAGGGCACGGGCCGGTCGCACCGCCCGCTCCGCGAGACGGGGTGCCCACCCGCTCTGACGTCATGACCGAGTCTACCGAGCGGGTAATAAGCGGGGAGTGTTATTCCTCCGAGAGTTTTCAATCTGTTGGGACACCGCCTGAATGAAGCGCAGTCAGGAGTCGCAACAGGTTAGAGGTGACAGAGGTGACGTTCGCATGTGCCCTCGGGTGGCCTGAGATCGTACCGTGAAACTAAAAATTAATCTGAGGTCACTAAGGCCTTGACTTTTTCCAAGAGAACAACGTCCAATAACCCATTAAAGTTCGGGTTTCGCCTCCGGGAATCTGGTGCTACCTTGCCTATTCAAATAGGAAGGATATAGCGGAGAGCTCCTGGGTGTCAATAGTTTTTATATGAAGAGAACGTAGATTTAAAAAACGTTCTGCTTTTTAAGTGAACACTTGCGATCCGTTCTGAACCTTCAGCAACTGAATCAGATATCTTAAGAAACTGTTGCACGCTCAGAATACATGGTAACACGTGGGGCTCACGGGGGGGGAGAGGCACGGAGTGGAAGATAAGGAAGAGCAGGAATGACTCCGGTGTTGAGCTGGAGAGAGACGCCGGGCCGGCGGTGCGTGCGAGAGCCATCCCACTAAACGGCTTGGTTTTATCTCAGAAACAACCAAGTAAATTATTCACCGGGGGCTGCCACTGAAATATTGCTCAGCTCTAGAACATGTCCCCCGTTTTTCGTCGTCTTCGAGCATGAGGATAATCGGTGTTTGTCAATGAAGGCTGCTTCCTCGTCGCGGGGGAGGGCGCGCGCCGGCGTTCAGTCAGGGGGGCCGAGACCAGCCCCCCCGCGGTGATCACACGGGGGCCGGTGTGTCGAAACGAGAGCAAGACCGGCGGCCTGGCGTTTTCACAATGAGGGAACGCGGTGCGGGTGCACAGCTGTGCACAAATAAAGAAATAACCGGCGGACCCTGGTAATACCACACTCGCCGTCGAGTTTAGTCGCGGTAAAGTGTAAGGGGCCGTGTGTTCTCCCAGGTGGAGGCGCTCCTGGACACTGACTTTCGCCTGGACGAGCGAGCGCCCGTTCCCAGGAAACGGAACGGGGACTGGACCGCTCCCGTCGGCTCCTCGACTCCAAGGCCAGTCCCGGGTTTTGCCGTCAGCACGCCGTCCCTGTGGCCCAGCAGGCTGGGGCGTCGCTCCCGGGAAGCCCGTTTTCCAGAACACGAGCGATCGAAACACGCTGTCTCACAGTAAATACGAGGTGCCCGTGTGCGGGGGCGTCTCTTAACACTCAGCCGTCGTGCCCTCTCTTCACGATACCCCGATTCCTGAGGCTGACGTGCGCGCACCCCTCGGTACCGGGTGAGACGCTGTGCCTCTCTGCTGCCGCTGGGTGTGCGGCTCCCCCGCTGCGCCCGCCGCCTGCAGCCGGAGCCCAGACCCGTCCCGCCGGCAGCCGGAGCCCAGACCCGTCCCATCACAGCCGGGCGGCTGGGTCGCTGCCTTTGTGCCTCGTGTGCCGACGAGCGCCAGAGACGAACATTAGCGTCGCTGTCATGAGGGGGCAAAATCTATAATAAACTCCGAATAAACATCAACGCGTCTCATCGCCGCCAGTTCGGCGTTTTATTATTTTGTTGGCGGAGGTGTTTTGCTCACTGGAGACGGAAGCCCTCGGTGTCGGATCTCGACTCGGTGCTCGATGCCCGGATCGCGGGCTCGCTCCGACCTCGATCCCTGCCACGGCCGGCAAACCTGTGGTTTTTTTTTCATTTGTTTTGCCTGTTTCCCGAAACCCCCGAGTGAGTCTCCGCGGCCGATCGGCGGGTGGAAAACGTGTTTGCCGTGAACCGCTTTTTCGGTGCTTAAGCAGTTGCGCGGAGAGGCAGTCAAGGCAGCCCGGTGAATTAATAAATGATACCCTCCACTCCCGCGGAAGATGGGACAAGACGAAAAAGGCTCTTTAAAAATGCATCTCGCTTCACAATCTCTGCCCTAGTTCCGAGCGGAGCGCAGTAAAAATAGAATTAAATTGCAAGAGGACTGCATTGAAAGCGCACGGCTGAGAGGTGGCGGCCGGGGGTGGAGGGGGGAGGGGGTCATGTTTTAAATATTTTTCATTTGAAAAAAAAAAACATGAAATAGGTCCCTAGGGTACGCCGGACTTGCTTTTCCCTTTGTGTCGAGCACGCCGGCGGCTGGCCACCTCTCCACGCCGCCGGGGGAGCGCGCACGAAGCCGGGAGCGGAGACCGAGCCCCTCGCCAGCCCCTCCAGCCGGCCGGGCGCGTAAGTGAGCGACGGCGGCGCCGGTCTCGGGCGAGGGACCCCCGCTTCTGGGGGCTGCGCGTCTCCGGAGCAGCCGGCTGCCTCTCCCAGTCCGCTCCGATGTGCGACACCGTGGTGTGCGCGCACACACATAGGGGCTGGCTGGAGCGGAGGAGCGGAACTTTCCGCGCTGTGCGGCGACAAGCATCGACGAGGAGGACCTACGGTACGTGCACCTTGACGCCCGAGCCCGGAGACTTCGCAGGCAGTGCCAAAATAAACGACACACACGCACCTCGTAAATGAACCACGGACGGACCACGGCAGCTCGCAGTTACTTGTAGACTTGAAATATTTGTTCGGCATAGATGAAAAAGATTTTTTTTTAAAAAAAAAAACCTCGTTACCTTTGTGCATCCCGGTGTAGCGGTCCTTCAGAACTGTCAGCTCGTGGATTTTCCCAAACTGTTCGAAAAGCGGTTTCAGGTCTTTCTCCTCGAGATTGCGCGGTATCTGCCCGATGAAGAGCTTGATGGCATCTTGGTCTTTCATGTTGCCGCTGTCCGGGTGAATGGAGATGGGTTCTGACCCGTTCATGGGTTTCGGGAGTGGGATCGGCGGGTACTGGTGCTGGGACGAGATGAGGGCGAGCGGGTGCTGGGTCGCCGCGGCGGTCGGTCCGGTGAAAACCAGGCTGGTGTGTGCTGGGAGCTGTGAGGGCTGAGCCTGCTGCTGCCTTCTGGAATCAGTCTGAGTGAATCTGGCCATCCTGTGCTGAAAGCAGACAGGATAATAATGACAACACACACACACACTGAGAGAGAGCAGGCACTCAGCTGGAAACCCGGGCTCACTTTCTATCCTACACACAACACACTCGCACACACATTATACGAAAAAGAGGGGGGCGGGCGAGGGAGGCGGTGGGGTTTTTTGTTCGGGGAGGGGGGCGCGC